CCAGGCCCTGAGTTCAAGCCCCAGGACTGGCAAAAAAAAAAAAAAAAAAGTAGCCAGGTCATCTGTCTGAACCATCATAACGACTATGCTATTGTCATAAAAGGTTGACCAATTCTCCAATTGTTTTTTACCCTCTCAAATCTTCTGTCCTGAAGAATGTCTCATGGTTTGGCTTTGCTAATCTTACTTCCATATATCATTGACCATGTTCATCTGTTACTTTTATTTTCAAAAACTGGTAGGTAGAGCTGGGGCTGGTGGCTCATGCCTATAATCTTAGCTACTCAGGAGGCTGAGATCTGAGGACCATGGTTCTAAGACAGCCTGGACAGGAAAACTTAGGAGATTCTTATTTCCACTTAGCCACCAGGAAAGCTGAAAGTGGAGCTGTGGCTCATGTGGTAGGGTGCTAGTCTTGAGCACAAAAGATCAGGGACAATACCCAGGCCAAAACCAAGCAATAAACCTGGTAGGTAGATTTCGGTCTTGATTTGGTTCTAATTAAACTATTTGTGTGTGTGTGTGTGTGTGTGTGTGTGTGTGTGTGTTTGTGTTGTTTTTGTTTGTTTGGTTGGTTTTTTTTGGTGTCAGAATCGATGCTTGAAGTCAGGACCTTGAGCTCTCACTTGCTTTTTTCAAGGCTGTCACTCTATCACTTGAGCCTCACATCTACTTCTATTTTTTTTTTTTTTTTGCTGGTTAATTGGAGATAAGAGTCTCATGGACTTTTCTGTCCAGACTGGCTTCAAACTGGCTCCCTCAGATCTGAGTAGGTAGAATTACAGATAGGAACCGCTAGTACTCTGCTAAAATACTGCTTTTGGATATTTTGATAAAGAGGCCTAATGTGTAGTTGTATTTCTCACTAGAGAAATAAATATTTTTGAAATGTATTTCTCTAATGAGAAATACAACTAGTTAGTAGTCAGTGATCAGCTAGTGATGGTGGCAAGACATTGGTCAAAATCCATAGTACTTTTTTTTTTTTTTTTGGTCGGTGGTGGTGCTTGAACTCTGGGCCTGGGCACTGTCCCTCAGCTCTTCAGCTCAAGGCGAGTGTTTTACCATTTGAGCCACAGTACCACTTTGGGTTTTCTGGTGGTTAATTGGAGAAAGAGTCCCACAGACTTTCCTGCCCAAGCTGGCTTTGAACTGTGATCCTCAGATCTCTTCCTCCTGACTAGCTAGGAATGAGCCACCGGTGCCTGGCACACTTTTTTTTTTGTCAGTCATGGGGCTTGAACTCGGCTTGGGTGCTGTCCCTCAGCTCTTCAGCTCAAGGTGAGTGCTCTACCACTTTGAGCCATAGTACTACTGGTTTTCTAGCGCTCTATTACTCGAGCCACAGTACTACTTCTGGTTTTCTGGTGGTTAATTGGAGATAAGAGTCTCATGGGCTTTCCTGCTCAGGGTTAGCTTTGAACTGTGATCCTCAGATCTCAGCCTCCTGAGTAGCTAGGGTTACAGGTGTGAGCCACCAGTGACATTGTTTGCAGACATTTTGAATGTCAAGAATTACCTTCCAGGCCCTAGTGGCTCATGCCTGTAATCCTAGCTACTCAGGAGGCTGAGATCTGAGGATCACCGTTCAAAGTCAGCTTGAGCAGCAAAGTGAAGAAAACCGAAAGTGGCACTATGGTGCAAAGTCGGAGAGCTCTAGCCTTGAGCAAAAGAGCTCAGGGACAGTGCCCAGACCCTGAGTTCAACCCCCATGACCAACAACAAAAAAAAAGAATTATAGGAGCGGTAGCTACTTAGTATCTGGGGCATAAGGGACCAGCACAGGACAATTTTCTGTAACAATTACCAGGCCCCAAATCTCAGTAGTAATGAGACTAATCTAGTTCTATGATTTCATTAAGGATTTGTAAAATGGTCTTATTCTGTTACTTTTTTTTTCTCTATTAGCTGGAATTCTTCCATAAGCAGAAAATATATAAATACAGATAGATACATAGATTATTGATATTTTCCACCTGCTTTTTTAAAAAAAGACTTCTAATTTTTCTAAGACTTATGATTTTTTTTGAGGGGGGGTCAGTTGTGGGGCTTGAACTCTGGGCCTGGGTGCTGTTCCTGAGTTCTTCAGGTCAAGGTGAGAGCTCAGCCACTTGAGCCACAGCTCTACTTCTGGTTTTCTGCTGGTTAATTGGAGATAAGAGTCTCACTAGCTTTGAGTCTGGATCCTCAGATCTCAGCCTCTTGAGTAGCTAGGATTATAGGTGTGAGCCAACAGCACCCAACTAGACTTATGATTTTATTACAGTGAACTTTTGCAAAAGCTCTACTTAGAGCTTGCAACATATTTGTTTGATGTAAGTATACACTATTAACCATTTTCTAACTATTTTGTTTTTATAAAGCAATCTGAAGAGGATGTGAGTCAATTTGATTCAAAGTTTACACGTCAGACACCTGTTGACAGCCCAGATGACTCAACTCTTAGTGAAAGTGCCAACCAGGTCTTTCTGGTAAGTGGAAGAATTTTCATGTATTCATGGGAAATTTTAAGTATGAGGTTGTTACCTGCAATAATTTAAAAAAAGAAATCAGTTAGCTTGTTTTGAGGTTCATATAAGGTAACCTGATTAACTTCTTTTTAAAACCATTCTATTAAACCTACTGTAACCTCTAGTGTTATGCTCCAAATTATTCTCATAATTTGACAAAGCATATTAGTAATTAAAATGGAAAGTATGATCTTTGGAGTATATGATCCATTTTTTGTAATAGAACAACTGACCTGAAATGTTTGGGTTTGCATCCCAAACTTTTTTTTTTGCCAGTCCTGGGCTTGAATTCAGGGCTCAAAGCTAGCACTCTACCACTTGAGCCACAGCGCTACTTCTGGCTTTTTGTGTAATTGTTATTGAGGAACTGAATGCAGGGCTCTGTGCATGTAGGCAAGTACTCTACCACTAAGCCACATTCCCTGTCCCAGGAAAACTCACTTTTATTATCAAAAGAGAAATAGCAATTAGGATTGTAAACCAATTAGCATTCTAATCTAAGTCTGTGGAAATACATAATGTTACTTGTGAATATTTGACTGAAAAATATACTGATACATTATTTTTCATTTTAGTATACACTCCTGTCTTTAAGACCTTTTAAATAGGAGCCAGGAATAGAGCTCAGTAGTAGAGCACTTGCCTATCATGTATAAGGCCCTAGATAAATCCCCAGCACTATAAGAAAACAACAGCAACAAGAATCCTTAAAGCTGGGCTTTAGTGGCTCAGGCCTGTAATCCTAGCTACTCAGGAGGCTGAGATTGGAGGATCACAGTTCAAAGCCAGCTTGGGCAGAAATGTCCCAGTGAGACTCTACTCTCCACCACAAAACCTGGAAGTGGAGCTCTGGCTCAGGGTGGTAAAGTGCTAGTCTTGAGCAAAAGAGCTCAGAGACAGTGCCCAGGACCTGAGTTCAAGCCCCATGATCAACAACAAATAAAGGAATCCTTAAAATCCCTACCTACGTAGATATTTTGGTTCTAAGCCTGGTCTTCGTAAATACAGCTTTAGTGCACTAGACCATATGGATAAATAGCTTCTGAAGTCACAAAGCATCTATGGTCCTCCTGCCCTGAATATGCCCAACATTGTCTGAAATTATATAGCAAATATTATACTTTATTCTTTTAGATTTCACGCAGAACCATCATGTTCACATGTAGGTAATAGTAAATAGAAGAGACAGTAGGTATAGGACTTGTTAAAACAAACATGGACAACAAATGAAATGACAGTGGGTAGCGTAAGAGCAAAGTCCAAGAAAGAGCTAAAGCTAATAGAACTGTATTGCTGTCTGTTGCAGTGGAGGTTTGCATAATGTTGATACCTATTCATCAGTAAAACACCAATTTCTTTTCTTTTTTTTTTTTTTTTTGTTTGGTGGGGGACAGTACTGGGGTTTGAACCCGTGGCCTCACATTTGCTAAGCAGGTACTCTACCATTTAGCCACCAAATGCCTAATCTTGTATAATCATTGGTGCAGAAACAGAAAGATCACCCATGTTACATCAGAGAATTCAGTCTGGTTTTGCTTTGACCTCACTGTAAGAAACTTGTTTTTGTTGTTCTTTTGCTTTTTGTGCTGGTCCTGGGACTTGAACTCTGGAGCTGGGTACTGTCCCTTAATTTTTTGCTCAAGGCTAGTACTTTACCACCTGAGCACAGCTCTACTTCTGGCTTTTTGGTGGTTAATTGGAGATAAAGTCTCACAAACTTTGCTGCCTGGGCTGGCTTGGAACCTCAAGATCTCAGCCTCCTGGAATTATGGTTGTGAACCACCAGCACCCTGCAAGAAGCTGTTTTGAAAGTGATTATCTTACTTGCTTATACTACTCTTGTTGCTTATATTTCTGTGTTACTTAAAACCATAATGTGAAGCCTACATTCTTCCTGTTTTTTTTTCTCCTAATAATAGTGGAGAATTTTGTGTGTTGGCATATGGGGCTGAATAGAATTCTGCTTTCCTGAGGTCTATGCCTTAAAAAATGGCTGGAAAGAAGTTAACAGGTATGAGCTCAAGGAAATGGGAGAATATATGCATTAGTGATTTTAAGTGTACATCATTATGTTGGTATTCAGACACCAGACAACTCATTTTACCAAAGAATATAAACAAAAAGGTTTTATGATACATGCCTATGATCCCAGTATTCAAGAGGTTCAGGCAGGAGAACTGAAAGTTCAAGGCCAGGCTGGGCTACATAGACTCTATCAAAAAAAACAGAACAAAAATTTGTTGTTGTTTTGATGTGTATGATAATCTGCCATTCTGTAGTCCATTGTTACTGTCTTTCAGGGTTTTACATATGTGGCTCCATCTGTACTTGAAAGTGTGAAAGAAAAGTTTTCCTTTGAACCAAAAATTCGATCCCCTCGAAGATTTATTGGTAGTCCACGAACACCTGTCAGGTATTTCAGACAATGTTATTTTCTATCTTTTTTTGTTTAAACCTAGAAAGAGCATAGGAATTAATGTAATTGAAAGAGCTGTCATTCTTTTTGGTTAACACAAACATGGCATCAGTATCTTTATATATTGTAAAGAACAGGTTGGGAAGGTGGCTCAGTGGTAGAGTGCTTGCCTTGCATGACTGAGGCCCTGGGTTCGATTCCTCAGCACCACATAAACAGAAAAAGCTGGAAGTGGCGCTGTGGCTCAATTGGTAGAGCGCTCGCCTTGAGCTGAAGAGCTGAGGGACAGCGCCCAGGCCCAGAGTTGAGGTCCACGACCGGCAAAAAAAAAAAAAAAATTGTAAAGAACTAGCCTGTGTCTCATCTCTTACAGGTTATATAGTTTGCCTTTTCTCCTGGTATACTGGTGAATGCCCTTTTTGTGCACTTAGTCAAGATTTATTGTGCACCCGTGGCTGCATTACATGTTGTATGCATGTGCGTATAGTGTATATAACATAGAAATTACTCTTTTTTTTTAAATGTCTATTTCAACTTTTTTGCCATTTTTAATTGTGTTTTCAATTCTTTGGAGCTTTAGATTTTTTTTTTTTTTGGGTCCGGTCGTGAGGCCTGAACTCTGGGCCTGGGGGCTATCCCTCAGCTCTTCAGCTCAACGATAGGGCTCTACCACTTGAGCCACAGTGCCACTTCTGGCTTTTTTCTGCTTATGTGGTGCTGAGGAATCAAACCCAGGGCCTCATGCATGCAAGGCAAGCACTCAACCACTGAGCCACCTTCCAAGCCCCTGGACTACACAATTTTCTAAAACTGTTTAGAAGTATTTTTTTTCCAGCCCTGAAAAATACACTCAAATGCCTTTATGAATAGTCAGTGTAGTGTGGCCTTTAATAGTTTATACAAGTTAATATATTTGAAGATGAGATGAAGTGGCTCCATCTTTCCATTTATTTATTCGATCTGAAATCACAGTTCTGCATAGTGGACATGTTTTCTCTCTGTTGAACCATAAGGTAATACATTCTTCACAGAATATATGCTGTAAGGGAAATAGGAGCTAGATTTTGTACTTGATAAGAATATTACTGAGAATTCTTGAAAAAAAAAAAGAGAAACCCTTAGGGCCTCTTCTTAGTGCTGTACCACTTGAGCCACACCCCCAGCTCTATTCCTTGAAGTTGGTGAGGATTTTCACTACCCTCAAATTTTATAAATGAGAAAATATTGCATAATTAAGAGTGATTTTAGTGACAAAGCCACTAGTACTAAAATTCTATCCTTTTGATCATTACTAAATATAAGCTATCTTTAGAGATTATCTGAATTAGAAAAGAATAGAAAATGGAATAGAAAAGAATATTACATATTCCAATAATAAATACTGTTATTGTTCTACAAGACTGTTACCCAATTATAAAAAGTCTTATTTTTCAATCACTTTGGTATCCAGTCTGCTAGTTAATTATTTTTCTCACTGGGTGCTGGTGGCTCATGCCTGTAATCCTAGCTACTCAGGAGGCTACTCTGAGGTCTGAGGATCCCAGTTTAAAGCCAGCCCGGGCAGGAAAGTCCGTGAGACTTTTTTTTTTTTTTTTCCTGTCCTGGGGTTTGAACTCGGCCTGGGTGCTGTCCTTCAGCTCTTCAGCTCAAGGCTAGCACTCTACCACTTGAGCCACAGCGCCACTTCTGGCTTTTTCTGCTTATGTGGTGCTGAGGAATCGAATCCAGCGCCTCATGCATACAAGGCAAGCACTGAGCCACCTTCCCAGCCCCGTGAGACTCTTAGTTCCAATAAACCACTCTGGAAGTGGTGCTGTGGCTCAAGCGGTGGAGTGCTCGTCTTGAGCTGAAGAGCACAGGGACAGCACCCAAGCCCAGAGTTCAAGCCCCATGACTGACCAAATACTCTGTATTTAAAAAAATCATCACAACCTAAGGGAAAGTGACTTAGTCAATTTTACCAGCAGGCTCTTATCTTTAATACATTACTGGTTTGTACTTGGAATGCTACCTTCCAGTAAATACTGTAGGGTTTTGTTTGGCTTCTTTTTTTCTTTTATTTCTTTACCATACAATAAATGTAAATGTGACTTTCACAAACCACAAGTGCTGAATTAATTTTGCTTAAAAACATTACCTGACAGATGAGAAGAATTGGCTTCTGAAATTCAGCTTGGCATATTGAACAAATATCTTCCACATCTGAACACTGCCTCTTGCTGGCAGCCACTCCATAACTCTATGAAGACAAATTCTGTTCAGCTATAAAATTCTGTCTTGTTTCTCAAATAGTAGTTGATGCTGAGCTTGTCAGATCTCATTGGAATTACACATTTCAAGACTTTCCCATAGAATACAAACATTGCACAGCTGAACAACATATCAGAACTGTTAAGAGCATGGAAGATTGACAAATCCATTGGATTCACAAAGGGTGACAGAGCTTCAAATTCAACATAACTGGCTTAAGGGACTAAGCAATTAGAAATATAAATAATAGAATTTAAATTCACGTATGGTATCTAGGATTTTCAAGTTAAATTCACCTGCCTGTGGCAGTGGTTTGTAAAGTAGATGGAGAGCTTTCTTTAAAAATAGTTTTCTGGCTAGACAAGGTGGCACACAAGAATAATCCTCGTTTAGGAGGAACATGAATTTAAGGTCAACCTGGGGAGAGGTAAAAGCAAGACCCTGCTTGCCTAGCAACTGTCTTGGTCAATTCTAGCACTTCCTGCCTCCCTCAGGGTCTGGGGGTGGGGTGGGAAGGGAAGACTAGAGCCAGGGATTCATGCCTGAGAATTGTGATCAAAGCCAGCTTGGGCAGACAAATCCAAAAGACTCCAATGACTAGCAAAAAGCCAGAAGTGGAGGTATTCCTCAAGTGGTAGAGTACCAGCCTTGAGCAGAAAAAGCTAAAGGCCCTGAATTCAAGCCCCACTACAGTACATTTGTACAGGTGTGCCTATACAAAGGAGTTTATATCTTCAACTGGATCGATCAGTAGTTCCAGCTATCAGATATAGGAAATATGAACCTTATTATTATTATTTTTGGTGGTGGTGGTGGTAGTCATGGGCCTTGAACTCTGGGCCTGGGTGCTGTCCCTGAGCTCTTCAGCTCAAGGCCAGTACTCTGCCATTTGAGCCATAGCAACACTTCCGGTTTTCTGGTGGCTTACTGGAGTCTCATGGACTTTCCTGCCCAGGCTGGCTTTGAACCATGATCCTCAGAACTCAGCCTCCTGAGTAGCTAGAATTACAGGTGTGAGCCACTGGCACCAGGCATGACCCTGATTTTGAATGGTCTCCAAGGTTCAATTATGAAAGTGTGGGGACTATTGAATACTCCTGTCACTAAATCCAAAAATAATTTTAACTACTAATCACAGAAGAGTAGTCCTACAAAAGAAACTAAACTTCACAAAGGAACTCAGCTGAACATGGTGGTGTTTCACACCTTTGAGGCTAGCCAGTTACACAATGAAACTGACTCAAAAAAAATGTCAGAAAACACTAATTGCAAAATGTCATGGAGATAGACTACTGTTCAAACTAACTGAACAATAATGCAATTCTTTATTTTTTGGCCAGTCCTGGGACTTGAACTCAGGGCCTCGGCACTGTCCCTGAGCTTGAGCCACAGTGCCACTTGTAGCCTTTTCTGTTTATGTGGTACTGAGGAATCAAACCCAGAGCTTCATGCATGCTTGGCAAGCACTCTGCCACTAAGCCACATTTTCAAGTCCTAAAAACAATTTCTTTTCTCTGAATTCAGGAGGACATAATCATTAAATAGATGTGACAGTTAAACCTTAGTAAAATTGGAACAAAGTATAACAAATGAGAGTAGAAATGATGGAGGAAAGGTATGCTAAGACCCAAGTAAAGTCATGGGAAAGAGGCAAAGCAGGACTTGTATCAGCATAGCTGAAGTTATGATCTAAAGTTCTTGTACAAAAAATTAGGGCTAATGAAGATAAACTAAAAGAAATACTGAAAATTAAAGACTGAAGCTAGGTGCCGGTGGCTCACGCCTGTAATCCTAGCTACTCAGGAGGCTGAGATCTGAGGATAGTGGTTCAAAGCCAGCCTGGGCTAGAATGTTCTTGAGACTTATCTACAATAAACCACTAGAAAACCAGAAGTGGCGCTGTGGCTCAAGTGGTAGAGTGCTAGGTCTTGAGCTGAAGAGCTGAGGGACAGCGCCCAGGCCCAGAGTTCAAGCCCCACAACTGACAAAAAAAAAAAAAAAAGACTTTGAGAATAACATTAAAAACTTCAGAAACAAATTTAAAACTGTTAGATGACCTTGGTGCCATTTCCCTTTAGTAAAGTGTTATTTAGCAGAGTACATTGCAGATATTTATGTTGACAAGCTTTATTTTGTTTGACATTTTAGAGATTCTCCTTTGATGGTTTGACTGCCATTCCTTAAAGAACAGTATACATGTAATGAGGATATGACAGGGAAACTTAATAAATCAAAGTGTCATTCATTGATATGCAAAAGCATTTTTGTTTTTTTTCTTTTTCCTTCAGTACTAGGGATTGAACTCAGCCTCACACGCTAGGCACTCTACCACTGAGCTAATACATCTAGTCCATGGGGCATTATCTTGAGGGCATTTCAGTATAAATCTTACCAGATCACAGAACAATGGCTGATGTGAGCTCATACAATCATCATTGAATTAACCTGAACAAAACTACTTGAATTTTATTATATGTTCTCTAAAGAAAGAACTCTGAGCCGGGCGCTGGTGGCTCACGCCTGTAATCCTAGCTACTCAGGAGGCTGCGATCTGAGGATCGAGGTTCAAAGCCAGCCCGGGCAGGAAAGACCGTGAGACTCCTATCTCCAATAAACCACCAGAAAACCGGAAGTGGCGCTGTAGCTCAAGTGGTAGAGCGCTCGCCTTGAGCTGAAGAGCTGAGGGACAGCGCCCAGGCCCAGAGTTCAAGCCCCACGACCGACAAAAAAAAAAAAAAAAGAACTCTGCATAAGATGTAGCAAAAGATATTTTTTTTTAATTTTATAGCAAAAGATATTTCTATATTGCTAACTATCTCACAGAAAAATTATCCTCATCAGTTAGTCTGAATCACTTTGTAAAAAATCCTTTTTTTCTTTTTTAGGGATACTAGGGATTGAATTCAGGCCTCACATATGCAAAATGGGCTCTGCCACCTCAGCGATGCCTTCAGCCTCTTTTTGCCTTGGTTATTTTAAGGTATCGCTTTGCTTTATGCTTGAGCTAGTGTGGTCTGCATTCCTCTTAACATGTCATTGTGTTGCTGGAGATGACAAGCACATAGCACTGTGCCCAGCCATTATTTCCTACCCTCCACAGCTGGGATAACAGGCGCATGCCACCCATCCAGTTGAGTTGGAGTCTCTGGAACTTTTGTTTTGTTTTTTTTTGGTCCGGTCGTGGGGCCTGAACTCTGGGCCTGGGCGCTGTCCCTCAACTCTTCAGCTCAAGGCTAGCACTCTACCACTTGAGCCACAGCACCACTGCCGTTTTTTTTTTTTCTTTCTTGCTTGTGGTGCTGAGGAATCGAACCCAGGGCCTCATGCATGCAAGGCAAGCGCTCTACCACTGAGCCACCTTCCCAGCCCTCTCTGGAACTTTTATGCCTAGCTGGCCTTGCATTTTGATCTCTATCTCTCCACCTCCCAAATAGCTAGGAATCACTTTTAATAATATGCTATTCGGTTGGTAATCTTGTTAGTGGATTAGACTGATTAACTGTTTAAGGACCTAATAGACTGCAGATCTGTAAAGCAAGCCCTTCAATCTTGTGACCACACAACAGTACTGCAAATCTTTGAGGTTACCAAACAGTAAATTAGTTTTCTTTAGGGGTTACTTTCTTACACTTGGTAACACTGATAGAATACATTAAGTTTATAATTGACATTGGACTCTCAATTGCTCAACTCCATGCTGTAAAATTATTTGTTCATACAGAATTGAATAGGAGGAAATTTCCTTCAATAAGAAAATTGCAAGGAGCTGGACACCAGCGACTCACACTTGTAATCCTAGCCTACTCAGGAGGCTGAGATCTGAGGATCACAGTTTGAAGCCAACCTGGGCAGAAGAGTCTGTGAGACTCTTCACTAAACTACCAAAAAAGCTGGAAAATGGGGCTGTGGAACCGTGGAACACTAGCCCTGAGCAAAAAAAGCACCCAGGCTCTGAGTTCAAACCCCAAGACTGGCACCAAAAAAAAAAAATTGCAAGCAACATGATTTTCAGTGGTAAGCCTTCCTCAAGACAGGAACATTTTCAGTGAAGCCAAATTTGGCATTTGGCATTAATGCAAATACATTAACCTACCATTTTTTTGGGGGGGGGAAGAAAACAATTCAAGACAGGATTTCTGCTTATGTTTTAAGAAAAATTTATAAACTTAAAAATGTCAGATGAAAAAGGATTTGAAAGGTACATTCAAATGCATAAGCATTGCAATAATTAGTGGGCAGTTGTATAATGTATGAAACTAGATTACTGGTTTCTTAGTAAACTCCTAGATTACTAAAGCCACAAATGCTAACATACTAGAAAAATCTAAAAAATATCTCCTTAAATCTATGCATGTAAAAGCCTCTTAATTTTTTGTTATAAAGAAGAAAGGAGGGCTGGGGATGTGGCTTAGTGGTAGAGTGCTTGCCTAGCATGCATGGAGCCTTGGGTTCAATTCTATGTACCACATATACAGAAAAAGCCTGAAGTGATGCTGTGGCTCAAGTGGTAGAGTGCTAGCCTTGGGCAAAAGAAGCTCAGGGACAGTGTGCAGGCCCAGAGTTCAAGCCCCAGAAGTGGAAAAAAAAAAAAAAAAGGAAAAGGTATATTGTTCCTTAATTAGTAAGAAGTACTTACTGGTCGTGTAAAAAATATTCGTAAAACCTGTCTGAAAGTTCTCAATTGTCCAAAAAAGTCCAAGAGCTGAAAGAAGAAATAAATAATTAGTTCAGAGAGCCCTATGTGCTAAACCAAAAATATCAAAATTGCAATCTCTACCAGGCACTGTTGGCTCAGGCCTATGATCCTAGCTATTCAAGAGGCTGAGATATGAACATTGTAGTTTGAAGTCAGCCCTGGCAGACAAATCTATGAGACTTATCTCCAATTAACTAGCAAAAACCTAGAAGTGGAGGGACAGCTCACATGGTATAGTGCCAGATGTGAACAGAAAAAGCTAAGCAAGATCATGAGGGCCTGTTTCATGAAGCCCAAGTACCAGCACAAACCTAAAATCTCAACATTAAATTCTCATTTAATCTAATTCTCATGCAATCTATTTTTCATTGTGTATTCAAGCTAATCATTTCATAGTATATCTCTAGTCCAGTTACTAATTATTTGCTTTATAGATTTGAGCCAACTCTTAACCAAGAGGGAAGTATATTAAATACCTAGTTATTTTTTTCATAATTATATAATAAATGGTACTGCTGAGGACTGGTGGTGTATTCCATGCTGTGTGGAGGTCTACTCCCCCGTCCTCAGTAAAAACTGAGAACTATAACCTAGAGTAGTGGCAAAGGCTTGTAATCTCAGCTGGAAGCCTAGGCAGTACAACAAGAACTCATCTCAAAACAATAAGCAAAAGAGTGGAAACTACTTTTTTTTTTTTTTGGGTCCAGTCGTGGGGCCTGAACTCTGGGCCTGGGCGCTGTCCCTCAGCTCTTCAGCTCAAGGCTAGCGCTCTACCACTTGAGCCACAGGGCCACTTCCGGCTTTTTTCTTTTTGCTTATGTGGTGCTGACGAATCGAACCCAGGGCCTCAGGCATGCAAGGCAAGCGCTCTACCACTAAGCCACCTTCCCAGCCCTGGAAACTTTTTTCTTATCCAGAGGAAATGCATTTTTTTCTTCCTCTCTCCTTCCCCCGCTACCCCCCCCCCCCGTTTTTTTTTTTTTAATTTAAAGATATATGGTCTTGTGTCACACAGGCTTGCCCCATTCTTAAGTATTAGCAGGATTACAGGTGCATGCCATCATACCCAGCTCTCCATTATTAAGAATCCAGCATTACTTAAGACTAGTTAAGGATGGCAATTTTAGTATATAAACTCAGTAGTCACTCTTATGAATCATTATGTCATGACCAAGATTTATAATGTCACTTACTTTTAGTATGAGGTAGAGTAAAGCCAGCAATATTCCAAGGCTCCATTTCGTTACATTACCAAACTCCCCATAGCTTATAAGATAACGAAACCAAACTGGTATGGGAACAAAAGTTCGGTAGTACTGACATAATTCTTCTAAAAGCATATACCAGTAACCCTAAAAAGACAGAAGGAAAACAAAGCAAAAATCCAAATGGAGCTAAATACACAGCATAGATACTATAATACTGTACGGAGAGCATCATGAATATATTATGTAGTAATTCATTATATGTATTACTGTAATAATGATTGTGACTCACAATTTCAACCTGGTTTTTATGTATATTATAACTAACACTTGTAGTAGAGCAACAGTAGCTCATGTCTGTAATCTTAGCTAGGTGAGAGGTTGAGAGTAGGAGTCCTCAGTTCAGAACAGCCCAGGCAGACCCCTCCTCAACATGTAGCTGGGCACGGTGGCATTGTACTTGTCCTTTTATGGGAGACTTGAGATTGGGAGAATCAGTTTCAGGCCAGCCAGAGCAGAAAAACGTGCCAGACTCCATTCTCCACAGTGAAGTAAGATGTTGTGATGTATGCCTGTGATTTCCAGTAACAAGTGGAAGTCTAAAGTAGGTGGATGACAGCCTGGGTATATGCCCAGATGGAAAGCAAGACCTTATCTCAAAAAATAACAAGTGAGGCTGGATGCTGGTGGCTCATGTCTGTAATCCTACCTACTCAGGAGGCTGAAACCTGAGATTGTGGTTTGAAGCCAGACCAGAGGAAAGTCCATGAGATTCTGATCTCCAGTTAATAACCAAAAAGCCAGAAGTAAGCCAGATGCTGGTGGCTCACACCTGTAATCCTGGCTACTCAGAAGACTGAGATCTGAGAATCATAGTTCAAAGCTAGCCTGGGCAGGACAATCTATGAGACTCATCTCCAATAAAACCACTAGAAAACTGGAAGTGGTACTGTGGCTCAAGTGGTAGAGTGCTCGCCTTGAGCTGAAGAGTGAACAGACAGCACCCAAGCCCAGAGTTCAAGCCCCATGAGGGACAAAAAAAAAAAAAGTCAGAAGTGGAGCTTGAGTGACTCAAGTGTCAGAGTGCTAGCTTGAGCAGAAATAGCTAAAGGACAGTACCCAGATCCTGACTTAAAGCCCCTGAACTGGCAATATAATGATGATGATGATGATGATGACGATGACGATGATGAAAATAACTAGTGAAAGCCAGATTCCAGTAGCTAACATCTGTAATCCTAGCTACTTAGGAGGTTGAGGTTTAAGGATTGTGGCTCAAAGCCAGCCCAGGCAGACAAATCCAAGAGATGCTTAACAACCAAAAAATCTGAAGTGGAGCTGTGGCTCAAATGTAGAGCACCAGCCTTGAACAAAAAAGCTAATGGACAGTGACCAGGTCCTGAGTTCAAGCTCTAGTACTTGAGTACATATACATGTACACACACACACATACACACACACACAAACTTGGGAAAAACAGGATTGGAAGTGTGGCTCAAGTGGCAGAGTACCACCCTAGCAAAAGCAAGGTCCTGAATAACATCATAGAGTCAATTATCAATGGATAATGCCCTGAAAGAGAACAAAAGTAGGTGTGGTGACTGATTTTTCAATTACTCTAAAGCAAATGGAATTCTGTTTTTATCCAATAGCAACTGGTTGCTGAGCTAATGATGGTAATCAAAATTAAGGTATTTAGCAAAATGAAAAATTACAAAAGAGACATTTAAACCACAAATAACATTAATATGATTTACCAATGTCACTCGAATAAAAAAGTTTCTCACCTTTGATTTAAAGGGCATGATGAAGGAAGGCACCAGTAAAATAAGGCATTTTAAGCCCATGAAGAGGAATTTCAGAATGAAGTCTGTAATTCCAACAATCCAAAGTACTTCCCAGAAGCTCAAGTGATCCAATGTAGGATTTAAGAAAATTAAACTACCAAGAGAAAGACATCAAAGTTTAGCAAAACATTAAAATTTATATAAATATTTTGGTATATAAAAATGTGAATTTGGCAAGATAATATAGTTCAAATAAATACAGCATAAGATCATTTTGCTTTAAAGCTCTTTCTGAATGTCAGGATTTCAAATCTTCCTTTCATTGAATAAAGAAAAAGTCTTCCTGGATGATCATGGCTAACACTTCTTTTGTCGTTTAAAAAATTGTAAAATTAGCCAGGTGCTGGTGGTTCATGCCTGTAATACTAGCTACTCAGGAGGCTGAGATCTGAGTATCACAGTTCAAAGCCAGCTCGAGCAGGAAAGTCTGTGAGACTCTTATCTTCAATAAACCACTCAGAAAACCTGAAGTGGCACTGTGGCTAAAGTGTTAGAACACTAGCCTTGAGCTAAAGAGCTGAAAGACAGTGTCCAGGCCCAGAATTCAAGCCCCACAATCAACCCCCCCCAAAAAAAAATTGTAAAATTGCCGGGTGCTGGTGGCTTGTGATGTAATCCTAGCTACTCGGGAGACTGAGATCTAAGAATCATGGTTTGAAGCCAGCCTGGGCAGGAAAATCTATGAGACTCTTCTCTACAATAAACTACTCAGAAAAAGCAGAAGTGGCACAGTGTCTCAGGTAGAGTGCTAGCCTTGAGCAAAAGAAGCTTCAGGAACAGCACCCAGGCCCTGAGTTCAAGTCCCAGGACTAGCACACAAAAAAATTGTGAAATTCATTTACATGATATAATCACATGAAAGCCAAGTAAGACCAAAACATATCTATGCCCAAAATTGTGGAAAGATAAGGAATATCAGGTGTATCTTTCGGATTTATTAAAGATTTATTAAAAGGGAAGGATGGAAGATGATCAGATTTATCACTGCTGCACATAATAATTACTGAGTTTATAGGTGCAATTTTTTCTTTTTTGTACTCTTTAGTCTTTTTTGTTGTTGTTGTTGGTTGTGGGGCTTGAACTCTGGGCCTGGGCACTGTCCCTGAGCAATTCAGCTCAAGGCTAGTGCTCTACCACTTGAACCACAGTGCCATTTCCAGCTTTTCTGTTTATGTGGTGCTGAGGTATTGAACCAAGGGCCTCATGCATGTCAGGCAAACACTTGATACCACTGAGCCACCTTCCCAGCCCCCAAATTTTAAACAAAGAAGTATTTTTGTTTTAGCTGGTCATGGGGCTTGAACTCTGGGCCTGGGCGCTGTCCCTCAGCTCTTCAGCTCAAGGCTAGCACTTTACCACTTGAGCCACAGCACCACTTCTGACTTTTCTGCTTATGTGGTGCTGAGGAAACGAATCCAGGGCCTCACGCATGCAAGGCAAGCACTCTACCACTGAGCCACCTTCCCAGGCCTAGTCCTATAGTTTTTAAATATTAGCCATGTATCTTTTGATCTCAAAATTTCTAGCCCAACTCTCTACTCCGAGCTTCTGAGTATACCTAGAGCTACTTTCTCAATAATTTTAGTTGCCCTCTGATACTGAAAATTTACTTTCTTCTCAATATCAGTTCCTTTCCCTGCTTATCATGTAAGTCATTCTTGCTTCTTTCTACTCAACTTCCTACCCACCCAATTTAATCCTTGTTTATTGGCTTCACCTCTAAACTATATTCCAGATTGATCTATATTTCAAATTCTACTGATTAGAGCTTCTAATTATCTGATTAATGCTGAAGTCAGAACACTTCTTTTTTTGGGTCCGGTCGTGAGGCCTGAACTCTGGGCCTGGGCGCTGTCCCTCAGCTCTTCAGCTCAAGGCTAGCACTCTACCACTTGAGCCACAGCACCACTTCTGGCTTTTTTCTTTTTTCTTATGTGGAAATCGAACCCAGGGCCTCAGGCATACAAGACAAGCACTCTACCACTAAGCCACCTTCCCACCCCCCAGAACACTTCTTTTAATGACTATTTTTTTGGTCAATTGTGGGACTTGAACTCTGGGGCCTGGGTGCTGTCCCTCAGCTCTTCAGCTCAAGGTGAGCACTCTACCACTTGAGCCACAGCGTCACTTTCAGTTTTTCTGGTGGTTTTACTGGAGATAAGAATCTCACAGACTTTCTTGCCTGGGCTGGCTTTGAACTGTGATCCTCAGATCTCAGCCTTCCAAGTAGCTAGAATTACAGGTGTGAGCCACCCGTGCCCTGCTTAATGACTATTCTTCTAGGAACAAATAAATAAAAACCACCACCACCAACTGGTACTTAATTAATAATGGATCAACAACAACAAAAAAGTTTTCAAAAAAATTAAATACTGGGCTGGAGGCCTGGCTTAAGTGCTAGAGAACATGCCTAGCAAGTACAAGGCCATGATTTCAAGCCCTACTACCATTAAAAAAACCCAAAACCAAAAAACACTAACAACAAAAAGAACCATTAAGCACATGTCGTGTGCCAAGGCCCTTGGAATATAAGTCAATCATTTAAAGTTTGCAATTATGAAAAGACATATAAAAACTGAACTATATTGGGCTGGGAAGGTGGCTCAGTGGTAGAGTGCTTGCCTTGCATGCATGAGGCCCTGGGTTCGATTCCTCAGCACCACATAAGCAAAAAGAAAAAAAGCCGGAAGTGGCGCTGTGGCTCAAGTGGTAGAGCGCTAGCCTTGAGCTGAGGAGCTGAGGGACAGCACTCAGGCCCAGAGTTCAGGCCTCACGACCAGACCCCCCCAAAAAAAAAACAAAACTGAACTATAACTAAAGACCTAGCTCAAGTGGTTGACTGCTTGCCTAACAAGCAACAAGCCCTAAATTCACATCCCAGCTCTATAAAGAAATAAACTCAAGTACATGGTAAGCATTGTGTACAGGTAAAACATTCAAATGCTATGGAATATATGATTATATTTAAAATGTTTAGTAGGACCTCTAATTACCTGTAATATAGTGACTGAGAATTAAAGGTGTAATATAGAAGGAGAGAAGATCCCGCTAAGAATACCAGTAGCCAAACACATTGAATCTTTGAGGCCCTTTCCTGAAAAATAAACATTTTACAAATTGTTACTCTGAATTATGCCAGAATTTCAAATATCATTACCCTCTTAATCAATAACTCATTGAGTAGGATTACAGGCTTGAGCCACTGGTGCCCAGCTAAAATATCTTTAAATTATACCTTACTATCACAAACACTTCTCTGTATCTCTTTAGTGAACAAAACAAAATGCTTTAGCAAAAAAAAATTTTTTTTTCTGGTCCTGGGGCTTGAATTCAGGGCCTGGGTGATATCCCTGAGCCTCTTTGTGCTCAATAGCCAAATTTTTAAAATACAATTTTTTTCATTATATGAAAAATGTGACATATTTTAAACAGGTACACTGAAATACAGGACCTGTTCAAAACAAACTTGGGATACCTCTGCGCCTTTATTTTTTGCAGCTCCCCCACAAAACAGAATTTTAAAAATTAAGAAAATCAGTTTAAATATTTACTTTTGTTTATTTTTGTCAGAACTAGTGCTTGGAACCAGGGCCTAACTCAGCTATAGTCTACCATTTGAGCCACACCTCTAGTCTTAATTTTTGCTGGTTACTTTGGAATCTCATAGATTTGAACAATGTCTTGGTTGGCTTTGAACAATGATCTTCCAGATTTCCACTTCCTGATTACAAGTATGAGCCAACAGCATTGGCTTAATATTTTTAATTTCTTAATTTCAAGTTTTAATGACTAGTTTTACAGGTGGAACATCCTAATCCCCAAATCAGAAATCCTAAACAACCCAAAACACAAAGGTTTTTAGCACTAACATGAAACCTCAAATGGAAAATTCCATACCTGAATATTATGCCACATTAAAATCACAGGTATATTAAAAACATACTGTATAAAATTACTTCTTGGTTACATGTATAAGGGGTATGTAAGTTATAGATGAATTTTGTTTAGAATTAGGTCTTACTCTCAAAATAAGTTATGTATAGGCAAATATTCAAAACTATGAAAAAAAAATCTGAAACACTTAGTTCCAAGAATTTCATATAAAGGATACTCAACCTGTATTAACTTTTAAACCATGAATTAAATGCATTGCTGTTTAGTAAGTTATACTTTTACATAGATATAGTCCTTCCCTTTATAGTAGCCTTAAGTAGGTGAAATTTTATAAACTCTTCCAATTTCTCCTATTATGATTAAGACTCTTTCAAGAAAAACTTAATTTTTTCTGAGACATAAACATTTCAATACCCAGTTCTCTTATTCAGTACTACAATTTATTCAGTTGATATCTTATATGTACTAAAGGTTGTTTTTTGTTTGTTTTTTTGTCGGTCATGGGGCTTGAAATCTGGGCCTGGGCGCTGTCCCTCAGCTCTTCAGCTCAAAGCTAGCACTCTACCACTTTAGCCACAGCACCACTTCTGGTTTATCTGGTGGTTTATTGGAGAAAAGAGTCTCCTGGGCTGGTATTGAGCTATGATCCTCAGATCTCAGCCTCCTGAGTAGCTAGGATTACAGGTATGAGCCACCAGCACATGGCTGTACTAAAGTTTATAATGAAATTATTTAGTATGTTCAAATCAACTCACAAAACATAAAGGCCCTTGCAAAACTGTTTCAAATAGCATGGTCTAAACCTTTATCTTACTATTTTTTCTTTATTAGGAAAACATACAAAGAAAATAAGGTGAGGCAATTCAACATTAAGACAGGTAATTTATTACAGGTCATTTAGATAACAATATGTCAAGGATATTATGTTATCCTATTACTGCCTGTTTCTCTCAGAAGTTAATTCTATTTCAATATGATCTTTCTAATTCTGGAGAAACAGTTAATAATATTTTAGTTGCTTGTTATACTTACTCTTAGAAAAACCTGATTTACAATGCTTTTGTTTGCATATATAAAAGTTGTTAGCAGCCCAATTCCAAGAGAAATTCCTGTTAGAAAATAAGTTCCAATTAATTGAAATGAA